GTTGTCTCCTCCGGCTATCTTATGTCTGAACGCTGTACGTGTATATATATATATATATATATTATTTATAATATTTGTATAGATTTATATATATATATATATGCGGGTTTATATATGACTGTATATGACTATATGGCTGTATGCTGCTGCTGCTACCCCTGCCTCTGTTGCTGCTGTGCTGTCCCCCTGCTGCTGCTGCTACGCCTGATATCTGTTCGTGCGTCTGCGTCAGGCTGCAACAACTAGCTGCTTACAGCAGCAGCAGCAGTATCATTCGCTGTATCAACATCAGCAGCACCATCAGCAGCAGCAGCATCAGCAGCAGCATCACCAGCAGCAGCAGCAGCAAAACCTCTCTAAGACTGTCTCGTGGCTATCTGAAGTGTACAGACAGCCTGCAGGGCGAAGCCCTCTATAATTTTAATGTTTTTAAGCTGTAAAGACAGCAATAAAGAAACAATCTTCTTCTTCGTTTTGACTAGCTAAGAAAGGAGCAGCTCTCAGCTGTATATACACACGAAGTGCAGTAGCTGCTGCGTCTCTTTACTCTACAAACATGGACGCAGCAGCAACAGCAGCAGCAGCAGCAGCAGCAGCAAAACAGCAGCACCTGCTGCTACTGCTGCTGCTGGCTCCCTAGCGCTCTACAAACCTTCTATCTACTAACGCTTAACAGCGGCGACAGCACTTGCCGCTGCTGTTGCTGCTGCTGCACATGCGACTTAAAAATGCTCCACTCCTGCTGCTGCTGCTGCTGCTGCTGTTGCTGCTGCTGCTGCTGCTGCTGCTAGAAATATACAACAAATCTCAAGCCTCAAGGAGGCCGCAGCAGCCGTCAGCTGCGGTCCCCATCTCTACAAAACACTTAAAAGGGAGACCACAGCTTGCGGCATGCTGCTGCTGCTGCTCCTGTTGCTGCAGCTCTTGCTGCTGCAGCTCCTGTTCCTGCAGCTCTTGCCGATGCAGCTCGTGTTGCTGCAGCTCCTGTTGCTGCAGCTCTTGCTGCTGCAGCTCCTGTTTTCGCAGCTGTTGCTGCAGCTCCTGTTGCTGCAGCTCTTGCTGCCGCAGCTCCTGCTGCTGCAGTTCCTGTTGCTGCAGCTTCTGTTGCTGCAGCTCCTGCTGCTGCAGCTCCTGTTGCAGCAGCTGCGGTTGCTGCAGCTCCTGGTGCTGCTGTTCTTGCTGCTGCAGCTCCTGCTGCTGCAGCTGTTGCTGCTGCAGCTCCTGTTGCTGCAGCTGTTGCTGCTGTACCTCTTGCTGCTGCAGCTCCTGTTGCTGCAGGTCTTGCTGCTGCAGCTCTTGTTGCTGCAGCTGTTGCTGCTGCAGCTCCTGTTGCTGCGGCTCCTGTTGCTGCAGCTGTTGCTGCTGCATCACTTGCTGCTGCAGCTCTTGTTGCTGCAGCTGTTGCTGCTGCACCTCCTGTTGCTGTAGGTCCTGCTGCTGTGGCTGCCGCCCCTGTACTTCCAGCTGCTCCAGTTGCTGCTGCTGCTGCTGCAGTCCTCGTCGCTGCAGCTCCTGCTGATCCATGCCCTGCTGCTGCAGCAGGTTCTGCTGCAGCTGATGCTGAGGAGGCTCCTTCACTTGCTGCTGCTCCTGCAGGTTTTCTTGTGGCGCTTCTTGCCGTTGCTGCAGCAGCTCCTGTGCGTGCTCACCCTGGTGGCCGCGCTGCTGCTGTTGTTGTTGCTGCTGCTGTTGCTGCTGCAGCTCCTGCTGTTGCTGCTGCTGTTGCTGCTGCTGCTGCTGCTGTTGCTGCTGGTGTTGCTGCTGCTGCTGTTGCTGATGCAGCTGCTGCCCGATGCGTTCGTGTGTTTCCTCTGCGGTGGCTTCAGTTTGCAGGCGCAGGGGTGGCTGAGCATCAGCAGCATCCGCAGCAGCAGCAGCAGCAGGGGGTGCGGTAGTTTGTGTGCATACCTGGGGGGGCCCCAAGGGCCTCCAGCAGAAGAACGAAGAGGCCTCTGATGTAGGTTGAAGAGAGAAGTAAAGAGGAAGCGGTAGCTGCATAATGCTGCTGATCTTTGCTGCAGCATCAGAGGGGCACTCGAGAGTAGGGGCCCCAGTCTGGCCGGTGCGCCAGAGGCCCAGCAGCAGCAGCTGCTGCTGCTGTTGATCCTGATCCTGCTGCTGCTGATCCTGCTGCTGCTGCTGATCCTGCTGCAGCTGCTGCAGCAGCAGCTGCTGCTGCAGCAGCAAACACTGCGCGTCTCGACGACTCGCAGGCCAGGGGACCCATCTACCTTCGCCTAAAGCAGTGAATGTGTCCCCTCGCTGTCTCCTCAGGGCCAGCAGCTTGAAGAGAGGCAGACTCCAAAACAAAGAGCTGCTGCTGCTGCTGCTGCTGCTGCTGCTGCTGCTGCAGCACATGCTGCTACTGCTGGCGCTTCTGGCGGTGTCTTTGGTCGGGCTCTCCTGCGAAACAGCAGCGACCTCGCTGCTGTTGCAGCAGCTGCTGTTGCTGCTGCTTTCTGCTGCAGCTTCGCTGCTGCAGAAGAGAGGCAAGTATACGGCCTCCAATTCCTTTAGGGCGACGTCCATCTCCCGCTGCTCCAGCAGCGCAGCAGCCTGCTGCAGCTGCAGCAGCTGCTGCACCCCCTTCTGCATCTCTGCGCTCAGAGAAGAGCCCTGAGCACCACCCGCAGCAGCAGTAGCAGCAGCAGCAGCAGCAGGAGTACGCGAAGAGCTCGTTAGCTGACGCCCCCCCTCGTGCTGCTGCTGCTGGCCCTTGCAGTGTACGGGGGAGTCTGCCTCTGACAAAACCTGTTGGTGCACCTGCTGCTGCTGCAGCAGTAGCAGCTGCTGTTGCTGCAGTTGCTGCTGCTGCGGGGGGCCCATCTGCTGCTGCTGTTGTTGCAGTGTTGCGCCTTGTGGCTTCTGCTGCGTCGGAATCAGCTGCTGCTGCTGCTGCTGCGTGCGTAGCGGCAGCTGCAATAGCTGCTGGGAGAACCCCAGCTGGTTCTGATGGATATTCTGCTGCTGCTGCTGCTGCTGCTGCTGCTGCTGTTGCTGTTGCTGGAGTGCCTGCTGCGGCGACGGTATAAGGGGGAGGTGCTGCAAGTGCTGCTGCAGGTGCTGCTGCTGCATATAACCCTGATGCTGCAGCGGGAGGTGAGAGGCAGCAAGTTGCTGCGGCGGAATTGGGGGCAGCGGCATCGTGTGCTGCTGCTGCATGTGATGCTGATGCATGTGCTGTTGCTGGTGCTGCATATGCTGCTGCATGTGGCGGTGCTGCATGTGCGGCTGAGGCATATGCTGCTGCTGCAAGTGTTGCTGCTGCGCGTGATGCTGCTGCTGCTGCATCTGCGGCTGCATGTGATGCTGATGCTGCATCCGTTGCTGGTGCTGCATGTGCTGCTGCTGCTGCTGCTGCATGCGATGCTGTTGCTGCTGCTGCTGCATATGCTGGTGCTGCTGCATGTGCTGTTCCTCCTGCATGTGCGGCTGCGGCTGCTGCGGCACGTGCTGCTGCGGCTGCTGCTGCATGTGCGGGTGTCGCTGCATGTGTTGCTGCTGTTGCATGCGCCGTTGCTGCTGCTGCATGTGCTGCTGCTGCTGTTGCTGCATGTGCTGCTGTTGCATATGGTGCTGCTGGACCTGCATCGTTGGCAGCAGCATCTCCTGGTGCCGCTGCTGCTGCATCTGTTGTTGCTGTTGCTGTTGCTGTTGCTGCTGCTGCATGCGGCTTGGCTGCTCGAAGAGTTGTTGCTGTTGATGCTGCTGCTGTTGCTGCTGTTGCTGCTGCAGCTGATAATGGGGTCCTGTCAGGGGGCCCCCCTGGGGGCCCCCCGTCTCCTGTGGAGCCCCCAGGGGCCCCTCATGATATCCGAAGTTCTCTAGAGCGTTCACAGTCTGCTGAAAGCCCTGGGGGGCCCCCCTACCTCCTAAGGACGCTGGCAGCAGCAGCCAGTGCTGCTGCTGCAGCTCTTCTGAGAGGCATGCCATGCCTACTACGACGGAGACCGTTGTTTTGAAATACTCTCACTAATTTAATTAAAAAAAGACAGCAGCAGCAACTGCAGTAGCAGCAGCAGCTGCTGCAGCTGCTGCTGAGGCAGCGGTGTATCGACACCCGCAGCGCCCGCTGCTGCTGCTGCTGCAAGCTGCTGCTCCTGCAACAACAGCAAGGAAAACCTCATACAATACTCGCAAGAGACTCTAATATAAAGGCTGCATGGCTTTGGCGTAGAATCTGCTGCTGCTGTTGCTGCTGCTGTTGCTGGGCAGGATATGCTGTGCTGCTGCAGCAACCAGCAGCAGCAACAGGAGGAGGAGCAGCAGCAGAACGCTCCTCGATCGCTGAGGCGCTAGCCTCCTGCAGATCCAAAGAAGGGTTTAGGGTTTAGGGTTTAGGGTTTGAGCTCCGCGAGCACCAACCCCTAACAGATGTCCTTGTAGACAAGCACTGGTCTCTGAGGTGCGGTGTCGGCGCAGCAGCAGCAGCAGCTGCAGCAGCAGCAAAGACTCAGCAAGGACCCCCAGCCCTCAACGAAGACAAATATGTTTAATGCAAACAAAAACAAAACAATACTGTTTCTTCTGAGGTCTCCTAAGTGAAGGCACAGCAGCCGCCCTCAGCAAACCCTCGTAGGAGGCCCGCAGCAGCAGCAGCAGCAGCAGCAGCAGCAGCAGCAGCTGCTGCTGCTGCTGCTGCAGATAAAACAACTACTACAGGAACAGGTACACCCATAACTACATAAAGCAGTATCAATTAAAGCTTTCAAGCAGCAAATGTAGAGCCTTTTGTCTGCTGCAGCAGCAGCGAATTTGCTTCCAGACGCGCAGTGACCAGCGGTAGCGGCAGCAGCAGCAGCAGCAGCAGCAGCAGGTCATGCAACTTCTTCTCTACATTGAAACTTCGAGCCCGATCCACTTGCTGATCTTTCTTCTCCTTTTGTTGCAGTGTCTCTTCTGCTGTTCTCCTTTAAGGCTGAGCCCAGCTGGTGCTTCAACAGCAGCAGAAGCAGCCGCAGCAGCAGCAGCAGCAGCAGCAGCAGCAGGGCCTCATTGCTTCTCACAGGAGTCTTGCGTCCCCTTAACCACCGGGCTTATGAAGAACATGGACACATCACATGCTTAAAACAACAGCAGCACAAGCAGCAGCAGCAACAGCAGCAGCAACAGCAGCAGCAGCAGCAGCATGAAGGGCTGTTTCCACGGCGAAGGCGCTAGCGTGTGCCTCGTTTGCCGCACCGGCAGTTCTAGCAGCAGCAGCAGCAGCAACAGGAGCAGTAGCAGCAGCAGAAGTCCAGCCATCAGCAGCACTACAATAACTACCAGCAGCAGCAGCAGGAACTGCAACAGCAACTGGAGGACCAGCAGCAGAAAGTGCCCCCGATCTTTAGCAGCAGCAGCAGCCCCGTGAGCAGCAGCGGCAGGAGTAGCAGCAGCAGCAGCAGCAGAAGCCCCATCAAAAGCAGCAACAGGAGCACCCTGAGCAGCAGCAGCAGCGCCACAGGAGCACCCTGAGCAGCAGCTGCAGCAGCAACAAGAGCAGCTGGAGCAGCAGCAACAACAGAAGGCGCCTCATCAAAAGCAACAGCAGGGGCTCTCTTAGCAGCAGCAGCAGCAGGAGCAGCACCTTTAGCAGCAGCAGCAGCGTGTGCCCGCCCCCAGCAGCAGCAGCAAGAGCAGCCTTAGCAGCAGCAAGAAGACCAACATCAGCAGCAACAGCAGCAGGAAGACCATCAGCAGGAGGAGCAAGAAGAAGACCAGCAGCAGCAACAGCAACAGCAGGGAGACCACCAGCAGCAGCAACAAAAGGAAGACCATCATCATCAGCAGCAGCAGCAGCTGGTAGACCATCAGCAGCAGCAGCAGCAGCAGGAAGACCAGCAACAGCAGCAGCAGCAGGAAGACCATCATAATCAGCAGCAGCAGCAGGAAAACCATCAGCAGCAGCAACAGCAGGAAGACCATCATCATCAGCAGGAGCAGCAGGAGGAAGACGATCATCATCATCATCTCTCAGCAGCAGGAGCAGAAAGATCAGCAGCAGCAGCAGCAGCAGCAGCAGCAGGAAGACTATCAAGAGCAGCAAGGAAGATGATGCTTCGTTATTTATTTAAGAAGCCTCCGGGCGGAGGCCCTGCCCCTTTAGTTCAGAACCCTGTTCGCAGTTCTATCTTGCTGCTTATTTGTCTGCACATGTTTTTGTTTATTGTTGCTGCTGCTGCTTTTGCGTTTCCTTCTATGTGGGATCTCTACTGCGTGCCGCTCCTCGATAACTCTACGTATTGTGCTGTATGCGCAGGTAAACCCTAACTTAAACCCTAATTCTAACCCTTATTCAAACCCTAATTCAAACCCTAATTCAAACCCTATTATAAACCCTAATATAAACCCTAATTCAAACCCTTATTCAAACCCTAACATAAACCCTTATTCAAACCCTATTATAAATCCTAATATAAACCCTAATTCAAACCCTTATTCAAACCCTTATTCAAACCCTTATTCAAACCCTAATTTAAGCCCTATTATAAACCCTAACATAAATCCTAATATAAACCCTAACATAAACCCTAATTCAAACCCTTATTCAAACCCTAATTTAAGCCCTATTATAAACCCTAACATAAACCCTAATTCAAACCCTTATTCAAACCCTAACATAAACCCTTATTCAAACCCTTATTCAAACCCTAACATAAACCCTTATTCAAACCCTATTATAAACCCTAATATAAACCCTAAGCCAAACCCTAAGTCAAACCCTAAACCCTATCATATAAGCCCTATTATAAACCCTAAGAGCAGCCTTATTATAAACCCTATTTATAAATAAACCCTAATAAAAACCCTAATACAGTATAAACCCTAACAGAAACCCTAATAATAAGCATATCCCTCTCTTCATTGCTGCGTGTGCTTGTGTTGCTTCTGCTGCCTTTGCTGTTGCTTTTGCTGCTGCTGCTTGTGTTTGCTGCAGCGGTAGCCTTTGCGATGATA